CACTAGCCCGTCACAAACTAGTCCTATCTTGAGCAAGGATCATACCATGCCTGAAATAGAAGACGACGTAAAAGGCTTCAGAACAAGGCAGCCACAAGCAGTTCGCCACAATCCGTAGCACCTTATTCATGGAAGGAAGGCTGTATTACGACACCCGATGGCTGCAGTGTTTGCACCAAAGTTGTTTCGGTAGTCGATGAGGCATTTGCATGCAACCTGTGTCAACGATGGGCGCATTGCCACTGCGATACCAAAGTCCCCCGACAATACTATAAGCTGATGAAGAGACAACCATGCAAGTGGTTCTGGTACATCTGTCCAGAGTGCAGGAAAATGCCCGCACTCCGCACAGAAAGCCTGAAGGAGATGCTCTCCGCCACGCAAAAGCTACCAGCATCCTCGAATAAAGTAGGGTTAACACCAAAGGATAACACAGAGAGACCTGGAAACAGACCTAGAGCTCCAGCTGTGGGCACGCCACCTCGCGTGGGGACCATATTAGGTCAAGTCTCCATACCCCCTACCCGGCCCCAGGGGACGTCAAGCGCATGGCCAAAGACATCGACCGCCGAAGCCTCTACGAAACCCATTCCGAACACCCCACACACCGTGACTGAGAAACAACCAGTGGAATTACTCAAACCCATTGGGAAGTCGGGCGTGCCACCCACAACGAACCCAGGTCACAGGAGGACCAACTCGATCATTTTGTTCAACGTCGATGTATCGACAGACTCATTGTTGGTCGAGAGGGAACAATTTGACAGCCGAATGTGGACCGACTACTGTCAGATGCTGGGACTCCCTCCCCTCCCTGCAACTTTGTGTCGCCTTTCTCGAGGAAGCCATGCACCCCGAGATAAGCCACCCCCTTTACGTGTGTCCCTAAATACCGCCAAAGAGGCTGAAGACACACTCCTCCTCTCGCGACAACCGGACGTTGTTAATGCCTGTAAAATTCGGGCCAGGCCTGACAAGCCATGGTCATAAGAGAGGAGGAGAGAAAGTCAGCGGTTGGAAATCCCAACAGAAACAACACTATAGTTGTACATGGGATTCCAGAATTGCCAAGTGACAGCTCGGTCAAAGATCGGTACTTTCACGACGTCCAACAATGGCAATGGCTCTCAACCAAAGTTGGTCTCAACAGTATACCGGCCAACAGCGTCAGTAGACTGCCAAGGCCAGCGCACCTGAAGACCATACCCAATCCCAGACTACTTGCCGTCCAGTTCGACTCATATGCCTCCCTCACAGACGTTCTGCACGCATGGTATAATGCGAAAGATCGCATGGGTGGCTCAATACGTATATGTGAAAGTAAGCCTAGACCCACAAGGCAAGAGGAGAGACGGCAACCACCAAGACCTCTGGAGTCAGTGGTCGTCACACAGGCGCTGACCAGTGAGTTAGATACATCAAGTAAAGAAGCCACCACTGCTACAGCCCCCACCCAAGTTAAGAACAAAACACAAAAAACGGAACAATGCCAGTCCTATGAGGACTGGCGAGGCTAAATTCAACCACGTAAGCGCTCATCCCGCGAAAATACACATCCAGACCTCCCCTCTCATCAGGCACACTCTAATATGTATGTACAGCAACGTTAGGGGGCTAATAGGGAAGGTAGCAAAAATGAGGACGCTGCGTGAACATCAGCACTACGACATCATATTCATCACCGAATCCTGGCTCTCATCGGACATCTCCGACGAAGAGATGCGTGTTGCTGGCATGGAACTCTTCCGCAGGGACAGGGAACATAGAGCAGGAGGGGGAGTGGCTATCTACGCAAACTCCTGTTTAAAGGCAAGGATGGTTAGCGATACGGCCTTAACCCAGCTCCCAGAGTCTCTATGGTGCTACTTCACTCTCTTCTTTATTCTCTCTTCATTCCTTTACCACTACCTTATTCTCTTTCAGGTACCTACACAGACAGGAGTCATGGCAGTTCTCTAAACTTCCCAGCAACCCGTAGCTCCCTAATCACTCTACAAATTACAACCTACTAACCCACAAAACATCCACCTCACCGAAGCTAAAAGCAAGAAAGCAGAGGGATTTCCTCGTCCACTGCAGGAGTAAACCGAACAACTGGAACCAAGCCCTAAGAACTAGACGCGAGAGATCAAAAACTACCAGTTTTCTACGCTCGCACTATCAATATTGGATATTGGATATTGGAGGTACTTTCAAGCCAAGATTTATGGTGGCGCAGCCATTCGAATTTTATTCGTGGTCATATTCGGACATGTCTGTTTTGTCTTCATAAGTTCAGATGTATACGTCACACTTCCCCAGGCTGACCTATATACAACCTCACTTAGAGGTTCACAATGTCATTGCACCACTGTAGCTGAAAAGAGACATGAACCTCCTGCATAAAGTCCAGAGGCGAGCAACGGAAAGTGTTGTGCGAATACGACGAAAACTTTATGAAGACACCCTTAAAGATCCGGGGTCTTGCTCCCTTGGTTACCGTAGATTACGTGATGACCCAGTGACAGCTTACGAAATACTCAGCTATTAAAATCATCTGAAGACTTCAGTCCTACAGAGTGGCCACTTTGGCACTCCATGTAGTAACGCATGAGAATCTCCTATCAAAGGGCAAAGAACATGTGCTTTCAAACCTTTTCTCTCGTCGAGTTTGTGGCCACTGGGACGCACTGCCTATCGAGATCTCTACTGTTCCGTCTGTCGATGGCTTCAAGAAGAGGTTAAACAGCTACGGGGTGACTCATGGCTTTTGCTTGTCCGGCCGAGACATGGACTAGGTCAGCACAACCGACTAATTACATACACCCAGGGACAAACAGTCCTATCTCGAGTCTTTTGTACCGGCACCATCATCGCGAATTCGACTTGACATTATACTTACCCGTAAAACGTTTCACCTCCCGTTGCTATACCTCTACCAATAACATTAGTATCTATCGACACAATCCGTCCAACAGCCTTACTAACCCCTTCTCCCCCTCTTGACTATGATCTTACACTTTTGTCAGGGTTCCCGTTATCATTATCCCTCCTCAATCCACTTCGGTTTCTCTTTCGCTTCCCTTGCACTTCTTTTCACTTTTTTCCGTACCCGTCTCCCTTGATTTTGCCGGACGAATTTTCTTCTTCTCTACCTCATTTTTTGCGACCGGTCCGAACAAGTGTCTGGTGATCCGACACTAGAGGAACTCATCTCCACAACTATGCCTAGATAAAACATGGAACCCGGATACATTTGGTCAGCGCTCAAACTAGGCTGAGCAGGGCTACAGAGGACAAGTGGGTAGACACACTGCATCGGAATGTATCAAAGACCAGGAACTGCTACACAAGGCCCAGAAGTGAGTGCGACGAAACCAGTTGGTTTACACCGGCTAGTATGAAAATGTTGCATTGAAAAGAGGACCAGGTGTAAGTGAAAATCTATTGGATATGGATAAACATGACGACGTGGTTATCTACCTTCAAACTCCCAAATCTGAGTTTTAGTCGTTGAAATCTATGTATCACAAGGAGGAATCTCAGCTCCCCGATTCTATTTAATTCTGATGATGTTAGGTTGTGGAGAGCTGTGATGTCCGAAACAGAATCAAGTGCACAGCAAATTGATCTCAGATTACTTGCAGAGTGGGCGGATACTAATGGACTAGCATTGAATCAGGATGAGTGCCGGGCCATGTTGCTTCGCATCAATGACTCTCTGAAGGTACACTATTCTCTTTGCGGGACACAGCCTTCCCACACCACCACGTAGAAAGACCTGGGACTAATACTGGCTGACAACCTAGACACAAGCTCCAGTTATCCAGGAGAAGCCTTTAGAGCCTACGCAGTACTGCAATTGATGAGCAGACAACTGGGTGCCCTGAACGCGGAACACTTAAAGCTGTACAAGGCATACACACTACTTTACCTAGAGGCCCACAACGTCGTTGCACCACCATATCTGAAGAGAGATGTACACCTCCTAAAGGAGAACTACAAAGGGTATCGTGGGAATGAGGCGAAAACCCCTCTGAGGACAGGCTGAAAGACCTGAGACTATACTCCCCAAGCTACGTAAATTACTATGTGACTTGATAACGGCTGACAAAATACTGATTAACACAAGTCAGCCGAACAGTGGAATCCTACCAAACGGCCACTGTGGTAACCCAGGGAGAATCGCCCACCAGAAGGCGGAAATCCGTGTGCATTTACACTGATTCTCTATGCGCGTTTGCGGCCACTGGAACGCGTTCCCTGCTGAGATTGCTACTGTTCCGTGTATTGTGGTCTTTAAGAGGAGGCTGGGCAGTTACGCAGCGACGCACGGTTTGCGCCCATCTAGCTGGGATACGGACTGGTCTGACATGGCCTAACAACTGGCTATGGCCAGCCTACTATCGAACACGCTGTAACACCATTATCACTGTGACCTTGGCTCAACCTTATACTTCCCTATAGACGTCCCCTCAAGTTACCGTTTCCTACTAATATAATTACTATCTCTATTCACTTAAGCCGTCCTATAATGTTATTTCCCCCTGTCTTCCCATTGACTTTACGTTCTCATACCCTAATAAAAGCCGTCTCCACCACTCCTTATGAATCTGCTGATGTTTCTTCTTCCTTGCCGTCCCTTTTTTCCTAATCGTTTCTCCTGTCGTTTTTTTTCTTCTCACTTTCTCCCCCTTGATTTCTCTGAACATATTTTCCATCTCCTTTTTACAACCGGTCCAATCAATTGTCTGCTGGCACGACACTTGAGGAACCCATCTACACCGTAGTCCTTGGAAAAAACAACACATACTCCCTACAAATTTAACCAACACCCAACCGCCTATTGCGCTAGCCAGAGCTACAGCAGTCGAGCGGGTAGACCTACTGCATCGGCATCCACCGTAGACATAGAATCCTTCCGCAAAACCCAGAAGAGAGCGAAGAAATCAACTGGATTACACTAGCTCGTAAAAAGATATTGGATATTGGACTGATTGTTGTCTTGCTGCTTCACCATGGTTTTATATGGCGAAAAATCAAATGGCTCCAATGAGGATAAGTTTGCAGCATCCACCGCACGTCGACCCAACTAAGGCTACTCTAGCGTATGGGAAATTAGCTGTTAAGAGGCTTGTAAGTCATAATTTGAAAACATTGCTTTTTTTTCTGAACCCTGCTAGTGCTATGTTTCCATTCGGAAAACACTTTGCAGGTATTTGAATTCTTTGGACAAAAGCGGAGGAAAAAAATTGGGATTACGGCAGAAAATGCGTCCTGATTCCAGGATTTGCCGAAAAATTACCATAAAGTTTCCGAAATCAACAAAGTACGCTCAAACGTTAGCCCAAACATTCCAAAAGTTCCAAAGTTCTCTTCAAAAGTAGGGTCACTTCAACATTACGAAGTTTATGGTGAGGCCTCACATATTTTCTGTGCAGCTTAACAAAAGGCTCTAGATCTTCTAAACTAAAAAATGTTTCTTGTGCTTGGGTGTACAACAACATTAAGTAGAGTGTTGTAGTTAGCTTTCTGTTATCTAGTTATGCGATTCCCAGGAATGTCAATGTCCATCCGCGTCTCCTAAATTTATCAATACATGAAAGACATAATGCTGCAAATGCAGCATTTTTCTATGTGGCATCGAAACAACTAGACCTACTATACTGTTGTCTGGTTGGAATTTGATAATGGTAATATAATGGAATTTACATGCTTCACCAACTGATTATTGTGGAAGCGTTGTAACTGTTATAACGTTGGCTTTTTCACGCGGAAAAAGAAGAGACGAAACACGTTAGCATTCAAGTAGCATACGCAAAATGTATGTCAACCTTTTGGTTTTCATAATCGCTATACTTCCCTGTTTCATCAACACTTGCTTGTGCATCTAGCCTAAACTACCAATCTCTGTGTAAACCATAAAAAGTCGCAATAGTCCATCCGCAAGCCTAAATGCTTCGGTTTTAATTTTGCCCAAGGTTTCACTTTGCAGGTTCCGGTTCATCTCGATGACGTGAGATTTCGGAGTAGTGGATGACAGGTGTAAGAATACACAGACTTGACAGATATCCTAGACTTGTGTATTGCAGGGATGCTGTTACTTGAGGTTTAAATTACAATAATTCGGATAGTTTTCTGAAAAAAACCATCTAAACTAAGATAAATGCAATAATTTCAAGTCAAAAATCCCAAAAGCTTAGGACTAGTGAAATAGATAGAAAACAAATAATAATACTATTAAGTCGTTCTCCGGTAGCCACCCCTAATACTCACTTGCCCCTTGGAATTCACCTTCTTGTGAATATCTTGAAGTGCGGTCATGTTATTTCACCAATGTCTAAGAAACTTTAAGGACTACCATATGAAAATCTTATTTATTCAATGATTAGTGTTTCACCCCCAGTATTTTTCGGTTTCATGATATCAACTACAAAGTTTTTCCGATTAGGTTTCTGTCAACTTTTTCTCAAGAATTGAAACTACTATCACAGATCAGCTGTACTATTCTCGGCGTATGGATTTTATTATTATTATTATTATTAGTCCCTTGGGTTCCTAGTGGAACATAGGGCTTCAGTAGCACGCCTCCAGTGACCTCTGTTCTCTGAGATCTTTTGAACCTGGTCCCACGACAGCCCACAACCTCTCATTTCCTCCTCGCACGACCTCCTCCATGTCACCCTCGGACGTCCAACTCGTCGCTTCCCATGGGGATTCCACTCGAGGGCCTGACGCGTGATGTCCTCCGTCGGCCTTCTCAGTGCATGGCCAATCCATCTCCACTTCCTCCTGCATATTTGTTGCGTGATAGGTTCTTGGTTGGTTCGTTTCCAAGCAGAGTTCCTTGTTGCTTATTCTTATTATTCTGGCCATCTGATCTTCAGCAGCGAGCGTAAGCAGTTGTTGATGAATGTCTGTAGTTTATTGGAAATGCCTTTCGTGACGCGCCAAGTCTCTGAGCCATACAAGAGCACTGACTTGACGTTGGTGTTGAAAATCCGTATCTTGTTCCGCATGCTGAGTGCAGAAGATCTCCACACTGGTTTCAGGCTAATGAAGGCCTGTCTTGCTTTTCCGATTCTGACTTTGACGTCCTCGTCCGTCCCACCTGTAGTTGAAACAGTGCTTCCTAGATAAGTGAAGGAGGTTACTTCCTTCAAGTTTCTCCCGTTGACGGTGATTGGAGTTTGTTGTTGTTGTTGATGGTGGTGGTGCGGTATGTTCATCACCTCTGTCTTCTCTATATTCACCTGAAGTCCCGTCTTCGCTGCCTCTTCTATCAACTTGTTAGTTTTTGCCTGCAGATCTTCAAGTTTATGTGACATTAGGCATAAGTCATCGGCGAAATCCAAGTCTTCTAGGTTCTTTTTCGTCGTCCAGTGTATCCCCCTCTTCCCGCTGCTTACTGTTTGCTGCATGATCCAGTCCACCACAATAAGGAATATCATGGGAGATAGTAGGCAACCTTGTTTCACTCCTGCCTTCACTTCAAAAGCATCACAGAGCTTCCCATTGTGAATTACTTGGCATGTGGCATCTTCATATAGTTGTTGAATGAGGTTGATAAAGGTTTGCGGTACTCCGTAGTATTGAAGCAGTTTCCAAATTACTTCTCGGTCGACGCTGTCAAAGGCCTTCTCAAAGTCGATGAAGTTGAAGTAGAGAGCTGATTGCCATTCTATGCTCTGTTCTATGATGATACGGAGCGTTGCAATTTGGTCGGCACATGATTTGTACTTCCTGAAGCCTGCCTGTTCCGGTCGTAGTTTTGAATCCAGTGCGTCTTTAAGCCTCTCTAGGATGATGCGGCTTAATATTTTGCTTGCTTTGGGTGGACAGGAGAGTGATTCCGCGCCAGTTCTTGCAAGCACTGAGGTCTCCCTTCTTCTGGTGTTTGACAAGGTAACCCTTCTTTCAATCGTCAGGTACCTTCTCTTCCTTCCATACCTTCTGCAATAGTGGTGTGAGCATGTCCGCTGTTGTCTCTGCATCTGTTCTCAGTGCTTCTGGCGGTATTCCATCTGGTCCTGCTGCTTTCCCGCATTTCAGTAGCTTTATGGCGTTCAGGACTTCCATTTTCGTTGGGGGATTAATGTTCACTTGTAATTCAGCGGCTGTAGGTGGTATTTCTGGACGAAGTGCAGGTGGTGGTCGATTCAAGAGCTTCTTGAAGTGGTCGGCCCATCGTCTCCTCTGTTTCTCTTCTTTTGTAATTAAATTTCCTTCTTCGTCTTTTATTGGTTTCATCTGTGTTGGTCTCTTCCCTGATAGCAACCTGGTTATTTGATACAATGTCGTCAGGTCTCTCTTACCTGCAGCCTGTTCTGCTTCACTTGCCAGTGTTTCGTAGAAGTGTCTTTTGTCTTTGCGTGCACTCTTCTTCACTTCTTTGTCCAGTGCTTTATACATTGTGCTCAGTTCCTCTTGTCGTTGAGCATCCTTGCACTGGTTTATCTTCTGCTTCACCATCCTCCTCTCCTTGCTCTATCAGCTTCCAGGTATCCGTCGAGATCCATTCCTTGTCTTCTTTCTTCTTCCTTCCTAATACTGTTGTGCAGGTTTCTTTCCACATAGCTTTCAAAGACTTCCAGTGTTCTTCCACACAGGTTTCTTCAGGGATGTCCCTCGATGTCTCCCATTTTGTCTTGATGGCTGCCGTGAAGATCTCCTTTGTAGTTTCATCCTTCAGTTTCCGAGTGTTGTACTTGAATTGAGGTCTATCACCAGCTTCCTTGAAGGCTTTTAACTTGATTTGGAAGGTTCCTTGCACTAGATAGTGAGTGGTCTGAACCTACATCTGCTCCTCTTCTTGACCTTGTGTTAAGTAGACTGCGTCTCCATTTTCTTGAGATTGAGATAAAGTCGATTTGATTTTTAGTGTGTCCATCTGGTGAAATCCATGTCGCTTTGTGGATATCTTTGTGCCTGAACACACTGCCTCCAATCACCAAATCGTTGAATGCGCAGAATTCTGCAAACAATTCTCCATTCTCATTCATTTCACCTAGCGCCTCTCGACCCATGGTTAGTTCTCTTCCCGTGTTGTCCCCTCCCAGTTTGGCATTCATGTCGCCCATTAGAATTTTGATATCGCCAACTGACGTCTTGTCCAGTGTTGATTGAAGTTGTCTGTAGAAATCCTCCTTTTTCTCTTGCTCTGCATTATTTGTAGGTGCATAACATTGTATGATTGTGACCTTTCTTCCTTTTGAGTTGAATCTTGCTGTCATGATCCTGGAGGAGATTGGTTCCCACTGCATGAGAGCCTTCGATGCTCTTGAGGACATCATGATAGCCACTCCCTCAGTGTGCTCGTGGTTGGCGTCTGGGTGACCGGAGTAGATTATTGATTCTCCAGTTGACAGTTTGGAGAGTCCACTCCCATTCCATCTGCTTTCGCAAATCCCAAGCACTTCGATGGTATACCTTCTCATCTCCTTTGCAATCTGGGCTGCCTTACTGGGTTCAAACATCGTGCGGACATTCCATGTCCCCACGTTTACTTTCGCTTTCATCGAGGGAGAGAAGACACATCGGCCAATTGGCTTCCCGAAGGCTTTCACCAACTGGCGCCATTTCGCCTCTCCGATTCCAGCGGGGAATAAGTTTGTTTTCATTTTTTATATTTTGTTTGTGCTTTGAAGTTTCTTTAGCGGTTAGATTTGTTTTACGGGGTAGGGTTGCTAGCCCTATGCCCAACCTTCCCTCTTTACCCGGGCTTAGGACCGGCTAGTAACTAGTAAACTAGTTAACCAGGCGAGGTTGGCGTATGGATTTAGGTGATCATAAATCGACTAAGTTTGTTACAAGGTCCTCAGTTTTTTATATACTAACTGACCTATTATCGGAGATAGTAAATGCATATGAACACTAAAGCTTCTGGATTATTAACATCAGTCACCGAATAAGTTGCCACAACTTCTTGATGAACATCGAGTCATCCTTACGTTTTACATAGCTTTATGCCTTATGTTCTGTATTCTGATATTAGAGTATCTCTTACACCTAGAGATTAGTTTTCACACAACCTGGAACATAAGTTATGAACACCGGCGAGACAGAAACCGTAACCCCCGAAGCCCTCACTCAGAAAAGTGCTAATTTCAAGAAAACCTAATCGGAAATACTCTCCA